GCAATTCATAAAAAGTGCTCCAGAAGCTTCCAGGAGCTCCCAGAACACCGTTTGCTCCTCCAAACTTAGATGAGCTGGTAACTTTTTGCAGTTACTGATTTCAAGTTATCCTCATCTTTCTTTTTTAGTTTCTTCAATTTTCCAACACTTTTGCTACCATTTCACTACATTAGAGTCGCTGAAATACTTCAGGTGGCTTTTGTTTTCCAAACAGAATCTTGCTTGACAAACTTCTGTGAAAATACTTCAAACTTTTAGGTTATAATTATATTAAACTCATACAGTACGCATAGGGCTTCATAAATAAATCCTAAATATGGATGCTTATAAACCATGTAATTTTGATTTCCCAAATCCTAACCATTTTGAGGAAAATGTGACATCACAAAACATAGTTGCTGCTTTGATGACCATAAGCAATTTCCTTTACGTGATGGAGTACATTAAGTGACTATTTTGTTAAAATAATAAGCTAGCTTAAAAAACCTCCACTGTTAAAATACAGCATTTATTCTTATCTTTCAATACTATGCTCAATGAAAGGTTATGTCATCTAATGAAACAAGCATAGACTTTGGAGATATCAAAGCTACTATTGTCAATAGAAGACATCTAAAAAGTAATAAATATGTATTATATATGTACAAACAGGTTAGGAAGTAAATGCATGGTTGACTTTATAGTCAAACCATAAAGTTTGACTCAGTGACTCTTGGGCTATTTTCTAGCCATACATTATCCTAATTCAGTTGTAATGTCTGTGGTTGATGTAGGAACATTAAGAACCATTAGAAGAGAAAGCACTGATAATCACATTAGGTAAAAGAAAAATACAAGCTAAACTGGCTAGTATATTATTATTTACAAAGGATTTCTACTAGAAAATAATATACTGTTTGATTACTGTAAGAACAACATCAAATGATAGGACAGAAACCAACCTATCTATCAGCTCTGGGAACAAAGTTTTTAATTAAAATAAAAAAAATTTGCTTTCCAGAGCTTCCTCTTGGTTTGATTTCCATTCATCTGCTAGCTCTAATGACTGGTACTTTCCTGAATCTGGTTTGTTCTGTTTCCAGGCATACGAGAAAGCTGTGTCCATAGCTATCAGATGATTGCCAGCATGTGAAAAGGGAAGAAATTGAACTTGGAGTTGGTAAGCAAAATAGCCCCAGACAAGCATTCTCATTTGGTCTCAGGACACTTTGACAGTGTTAAGTTATAGAAGACCTCAAAGAACTTTTGTTTATGAGTTAACCAATATTTACCAAATTAAAAGTTGAAACAGAATGGTTTACAATATGTACTAGTTCATTTAAAAATAAGACCCATTAAATATTAACATACTTTATATAAAAAAAAACCCTACATTTTCCAAAACAAAGCTAACTGAATGAGTTTTACATTTTTTGTACATCGTTTTAATGACTGGTTTAATAGATACAGCCAAATTCTCATATCTGCCTCTGTAATCAATCTATTGTTATATCACATATCATGTAGCTTCTGGAAAACTCCACTGTACATTTCAGAGAGTGTAAGTAAACAAAGTAACTAGAGTCTTAGTATTATTATAGGAACAATTTACTATCAGACACTCCACAAGAGTCACAAGACCCATATGGGTCACTAGATAACACTTTGAACACCGCCACCCTAAATTAGCCACATCAGTGGTTTCAACATACATTCTATTATAACACATCATTTTCTCATGAAATGCTTTTCATGGATGTCTTCGAATATTAAGTAAACAAAAAAAATGCTTTGATCCTTAAGTAAAACAAACAACATTGGACAATTTTGAGTGTTGGAAGGATATGTGGAGAAGAGTAGGCGCTTGGAGATGTGTAGTATTCAGGAAAGCATTTTGTAAGTTGTGGGAAATAGACAATGAGCTATAATCAAACAGGCCACTGGGTAATTCCTAGCAGTCAGCTGCAACTTCTTTACCTTTGATTCAATGAAGTGAAATGGAATCTCAGTTATAGTAACATTGTTACAGAAATATATTGAAACTGTTAGGCTCGGATTTATTTCTTTAAGCAAATAATCTGAAGTTTTGGTACTTAAAATTACTGGAAACCAGTTACTCTTAATTACTGGAAACCAGCACTCTGACAATGTTGAGAGGTGCTGTCCTGTATTATTCAAAGATATAAACTTCTCACTATCTTTCTTTCAAGTGGCTGATGGAGGTAGGGTGTATAGTATTCCATGCATTCAATTCTGCTCTTCATATGCAACTACTGAAAAATAATGAGAAGTTCACTTTTATTCATATATATAAAAAGTGTGTATATGTATATATACACACATAAGTATATATGTATATACGTGTATGTATATACGTATATACATATGTACATATACATAAGTATCATGTATATATGTATGTGTATATATATACACAGTCACATACACGAATGTGGTTGTTTTTTTTTTGAGACAGAGTCTCGCTCTGTTGCAGTGAAGGCTGGAGTACAGTGGCACCATCTCAGGCAACTTCCGCCTCCTAGGTTCAAGCGATTCTCCTGCCTCAGCCTCCCGAGTAGCTGGGATTACAGGCGTGTGCCACTATGCCTGGCTAATTTTTTTTGTATTTTTAGTAGAGACGAGGTTTCACTGTGTTAGCCACAACGGTCTTGGATCTCCTGACCTCGTGATCCGCCCACCTTGGCCTCCCAAAGAGCTGGGATTACAGACGTCAGCCACCGTGCCCGGCCATGTGTGTATGCATTCATTCATTCATTCACTCATGTAACACATATTTACAAAGAACCTCTTTAAATGGGTCAGGCACTATTCCTGGCAGTTGAGATACAAAATAGAACACACATTCCTGGCCTCCCAAGTCTTGCGTCCTAATGTGAAGAGACATATGATGATTAGTAAGTAAAATAAATTATCCATTACATTGTGATAAGTATTAAAAAGTAAAGGAGGAAATATGAAATATTGGGAATGGGAAATGTCATGATTTAAAATGTGGTGACAAGTAGAAGGACTGACTGAAGGGTTGGACATCTGAGCACATATGGAGGGAGCATGACGGTGAAGAGTGTTCTAAGCAGAGGAAACCGCAATTGCAAAGACTATGAGGTTGGGAGCCTGTGGAGAGCTTTCTGGGAATACAAAGCTGGGTAAACAGTCTGTGGGGTCAAAGATGTAATGAGGGGAGGATTTTAAAGTCATTGTTAGGACTTCGGTTTGTACTTGTGTTGGGAAGCCATAGGAGACTTTGAGCAAGGGAGTGGTATGATCTCACTTCTTTTTAAGTAATTTTGGATTCTGTATCGAGAACAGAGTCAAAGAAAAGACTAGTTCTTGGTCTACCATAATACTATAATCCAAACAAGTGATAATGTAGATTGTAGTGGAGGTGGTAAGCAGTTGGATTCTGGATATACTCTGAAGGAAGAGCCAACAGATTATATGCCAATGTATATAAGACATAAAAGAGATGAATTAAAGATGGGTTTGAACAAGGAAAAATGCAGCCATTTGAAATACAAAGACCCTAGGTATGAGTGAGAAGAGGTGGAACTAGTTGACATCTTACAGTGTGCCTGGATTCAGATCTTAGCTGTGTGTCTCTCTCTGTAAAATGGGAAGAATAATAGTGTCTACCTCATAGTTTATTAGGAGAATTAAATGGGTATATATGAATAAAGCACTTAGAGAAACACCCGGTACCTCGTTAGTTAATACTAGCATTACCTCTTCAAGCTGGAATCTTCGAGTATATATCAAATTTTAGCTATTCTCTGTTCTTGGGCTGTGTAGGATACAGGGACAAAACTGAGTGGCTAATAAGAAGATAAAGATAGAAAACTAAGCTTAAAGGATATACACTTCAATATTTCTACATGTATAGAACTTATAAGAAAAACAGTATTGCATACATGCACAAGCATCACTGAACTAGATGCACCCTTCAAGAGACTGGTTGACATATTAATATATGTGAATAAAAACCCTGAAATAAACTGATTTCAGGGGAATAACAGAAAACATATACATTTCTATACCTATAAGGGCACTGAAAACTTCCAATCCTGAATCAGTTAATGAAATCCCAAAATGCGAGAAGACACTGTCACAGAATGTTGAAATACATACTCTTTTAAAGATAAAAGGTCTGCTCTTCCACCCTCTTCATTTTCCTACACATTAGGAAAATTTTTTCAGTTCTGAAAAAGGAAACGTACATGCTAAAATGGTGAATTACTGCTAGAGGTCTGATGTTTAAAACCACAGGCTTGCGACCAAAATAACCTATTTAATTTTAAATTCTCACGCAGATTAATTTCTTTCTTCAGTTTCTCAGGCACTATTCTGTTTTTTAAAAAGGGGAGGGCTCAAAATAAAATACCAATTTTTTCCCGTATTAAATTGCTCAACCATTAAAAAAGTGAATAAATTGGAAAGTCCTAAAGTACTCTCTCCCCTCCGTCCCCGCCCACGACCCTCCTTTTTTTTTTTTTTCTTGCAGTGGAACAAGCAGTACTTTTGCTAAGGGATCTTCAAGCCGAAACTCAGCTAGGCGCCCCAGGGCTTCCTCCGGATAGCAAAGCTGGATTCTTGAGCAGCACCACCTGCCGGGCCTACACCCGTTTTACTTCCTCCACCCCAAATCTCTCTCTGCTGGAACTGCATTCTTTCAGCGCCTCTGGGCCCTAATACAACCAAAGCACACTCTAAAGCAGCCAGAAGAATCCAAGCAGCGAAGTCGCCGGTCCCCACAAGCAACAGAGTGCGGGCAGGCAGCGAAGCGATCGATGCAGGGACAGAAAAAGGAGGCGCCGGAGCCAGCTCGCGGGTGCGCGGCACGGCTTCCGCCCCGCGCGGCCCCGCCTCCGTGACGCGCCGAGTGGTCACGTGACGGCCGCGCGCGTTCCCGGCCGCTGCGGGCTCCGAGGCCAGAGAGAAAAGACTGCCAGGTGGCCGCAGCTGTGGCCGGAGAGGTGGGAGTCGAAGCGAGGCCCTCTCGGGGGAGCAGGGTGAACGCCGTCCACTCCAGGATCCTCACTCGGGGAGAGGAGGCATAGCTCGCGGTGTCACCTCCAGCCGCAACGTACTCCGGGTCGGCCTTGCGCTCGGGGCCTGAGAGGGGCGGCGGCGGGGTCAGGGGCCGGTACGTAGATGGACGCCCTTGGGCTGGCGCGGCCCCGGCTGTCCGCGCAGCGGCGGGATGGGACAGCTCAGCCCTTTCCACCACCCCCGCCTTGGCTGCTGGGGCAGGCAAGACGACCGTGACAGCCCCTGCGCTGCCCGAGGGCGCCGCAGTCCCTGCCCTAGGTGACGGCCGGAGCTGGTCTCGGTCCGGGTGCGAGGGGCGGAGCAGCGGCCATTACTGCGCAGCCTCTTCCGCCTGAGCCCGCGTCGCTGCCTCGGGTGGCAGGCGGGTCCTTCTCCTCCCCCTGGGCTGTGGTTTCAGGCCTTTACCCGGGGACCTCCTGGCCTCGAGGTGTAGGGGCGGCGATGGGTTTTCGGCAGTAGCCTGCTCCCTGTTTCCCGTGTGGGGTCAAACAGTTTAGGCCTTGGGTCAGATCGAAGCCAGGGCGTACAGTCTGCATTTTTCTTTTCCCGGAGTGTCTCTGGCTGCTGCTTTCTCCTCTCTCTCCCTCCTTTTCCTCCTCCTCCTCAGTGTCTTGGTCTTGGCTAATACGAAGAGAGCAATCCCTGCACCTTGTTCTAGTGAAGCCCAGCGCTGCATATTCTTAGTTGTTTTGACGGCTGTTGAAGCATCGGAACAATTAAGAGATCTCACAGTATCCCTTGAGCCTCCAAACCCTCTGTGCATCTTGAAAGCTGAGACTGTTGCTTTGTTCTGTTTGTTGGGTGGGGAGTTCTCTTCCTACCCTCCATCCCATGTGAGGAGTGTGGATCTTCCATTGTTGTCGCTATTTATTTTGCGAAGGCTTCTAAAGAATGTAAAATTGTTTTTAAGAGTGTGGAGAAGGAACCGTCCTCTCCACAGGTAAAACCTACAGGACTGTAAGTTTACACACACATCCTGGCAACTAGAATTTTTTATCGTTAATCATTTTGGTATACGTTTTAATTTCTTTTCTACAAGTGCCATTTCAGTGAGCACTTATATCTCAAGTTTTGAACATTTTGTTTAATATTTTTGTAATACTGAAACAGTGGAGAACTGAGGTGAGAAGAAAGCCCAAAGATAGGGAACGCTTTGTTCTTTGTATGATTGACGTTTCAGGTACTGGGCGCATCACCCCCACCCCGTGTGTGTACTTTTCAAATGGGATGTGAACGTATAATGGCATTCAGTCCAGTATATAATTATAGAATTTGGAAGACTTAGGACATTTTAGTCAGTGAATCTATATTTAGACTTTTAAAAGACATGGCACGTAAGGACACATGGAGAAAATGTCCCACACTAATACCAGGATTTGTGATTTTTGCTTTGCTGTTTTATGACTAGCAAATATTGCTTGTATAGAGTGCCTGGGTGCCCTAAAAACACATGAAAATAGGTCAAGTAAATCTCGTTTTAAAGAGAAAACCGGAAGAGTGAAACACCACTCTAAAAATAGATTCTGGATGTGTTTGTTTTGGTGCCTTGTATATCTTAAAGTGGAGGATGTTGTTCAGTCCAATCTTTCATTTAGAATTTATGCCTCAAATGGGCCAGTGTGTCATGTGGGCAGAATGGAAATACATTTAAATATTTTTTTTTTCTTCGCTGGTTGTTCAAAACTTGGTAGAATTATAATCATCAGGAAAACTTTCTCCAAATAGCTGGTCTTTTAGACAAGAGAAAGAAAAAGTTAACTTTTTTTAAAAGGAGATGTCAGCTTACAAAGTGTTTTGTTTCAGTCTCCACCAACTTATATTGTCAGAGGAAAGGAACAGACTTTTTTAAAAAAGGATCCAAAACGATATTTTGAGTTAAAAGAAGAAAAGGATATTATATATGTTGTTTTCACAATATCGATATGTTTAAAGAGTATTATTTTATATGTTAACCATATACTACCAGGAAACATCTAACAGCTCTGACAGTTGGGAATTCGAATGCGTATTTTTCTCCCGTGTTAGTAATAGAAGGTACTGAGCCTTTTCCATTCTCTTATCTGGTTGCCTTGTGCCTGAGGAATCTGAATTTGTGGAACAACATCTTTGTGGATATAGAAACCAATTTATGTAACACTTGGCTACAACCACCTGTGCTTACTTATGGACTGTGTTTAGTTTTCGTGGCGTATTACCTTTTGGGTTAATTCAAATCCAAAATGTTGTGAACTGATTGCTAATTAAAGCATTTAGAACTTAGAATTACAGAATTATACAGTAGGATGAGATAACAAAAGACTGGGGGTCTTTTGACTCGACCAAGGTCACACAGATAATTTGCCGAAGAGCTTTCTTATTTATGAAATAGTTGCTGGCTAAGAAACATCTGTGTATGATATGATTAAAAGACAATATTTGTTCACTTTTACATCTCATGTTTTGAAATAAAATGCAAAGCCCACTTTTTTGTTGTTTTGAGAAAAATTAAAGGGTTTAATGCGCTAGTATAAAGATTGTGAAGGCAGTAAGTAGATTGCCACATAGTAACGTCTTAAAGGGAAGTGATTCTTTAAAATAAAGTATCAGACCCCATTTAGTTGAAATGAGTTTTGTCTGAAGTTTCCAAGTATGACCTATTCTTTTTTTCAGCTAATTTTTAGCAGGCGATGATTAGGGCATTTAGTTACATCTCTCAATTTGGGACTGGTTCATAAAAAATACTAAGATGTGTCTTCTAACTCACACTTGATTTATCTACTCCTTTTATGTTTATATAATTTTTTTTTGAGTTGTATACCAAAAGTGGGAACATTTCAAGTATTTTTTCTGTCACTAAGTGCTTTCATGTAGAACATTTCCTGTTTTGTGTATTTTGAATAAATGGTAAAAATCTTACATTAGCTGTTAATAATTGGAAAAATACAGTGTCTTCAAATATTTATAATTGATATTTGTCTTTGTTTTTATATGTACTTATATTGATGTTACATGCTCTTTTTTTTTCTTTTGATTAAAGATAATCGCTTGCTTGAATCTATTACCTGAAAAAACTCTTGACTTTGATCTTGTGACTGACTTGAAAAGTGGGAGTATGAATATTTGGAGTTGTTACAAATTATAAATGATACAATATTACTTCATTTTTAGTTGTATTTATTTTTCACTTATTTGAATGGGTCAAGATTTAAATTCATTGATAATCCCTAAACCGCTTTGTATATTTTTAAGTTTTACTTGTCACTTTTTTTTTTTTCCTTCATAATTGTTAGGGGCAAAGTATCTAATTTGGTTTTAGACTTTTTCTTTTTTTTTATGTTACCTTCTTAATAGATCATCATATTAAGTTTGGTGTAAAATTTACAAGTCATTCATTCCAGTAGGAATTATGTATGTTTGAGTTATTTATGTTTGGCAAATTAATTCTGGCCTGTAGTTAAAATTATGCTGTTGTGTTTTACATCCCCCTATTGGTTAAAATAAAAGCATCCCTTCTCCTCCAACTTTAAAAAAATCTTTGATTTCAAATAATATGGGTGTTTTCTGAGGACTTCTTCACATGACTGTTCTAAGTATTACATGCATGCCCTATTTTGTGCCCAGTTGAAATTATAGTTGACCATTGAACAAGGCTTTGAACTGTGCAGTTCCACGTATACAAGAATTTTTTTTTCTGCCCCTGCCACCCCTGAGAGAGCAAAACAAATGCCTCCTCTTTCTCCTTATCCTGAAAAGGATGAAGACCTTTATGATGATCCATTTCTACGTAATGAACGTAAATATATTTTTCTTCCTTATGGTTTTTTTTTTTTTTTTTTTTTTGAGACGGAGTCTCACTCTGTCACTAGGCTGGAGTGCAGTGGTGCGATCTCGGCTCACTGTAACCTCTGCCTCCCGGATTCAAGAGATTCTCCTGCCTCAGCTTCCCAGGTAACTGGGACTATAGATGTGCGCTACCACACCCAGCTAATTTTTGTATTTTTAGTAGAGACGGGGTTTCACCATGTTGGCCAGGATGGTCTCGATCTCTTGACCTCATGATCTGCCCACCTCAGCCTCCCGAAGTGGTGAGATTACAGTCGTGAGCCACCGCACTCGGCCTCCTTATGATTTTTTAAATAACATTTTCGTTTTTTTAGTTTATTGCAAGAAAACAATATATAATACAACATAGAAAATATATATTGATCCACTGCTTATATTATCAGTAAAGCTTCCAGCCAATAGTAGGCTATTAGCAGTTAAGTTTTTGGAAAGTCAAAAGTTTTCCTGGAATTTTGACTGTGCAGGGGGTAGACACTCTTAACTCCTCACATTGTTCAAGGGTCAACTGTATAAATTCTCAGAGTTAGTAGGTGATGAGTCAGTTTGGCAGAATTGGGGCTACCTAAACCTGTTAACTTTGATTATAACAGAATATGCAGTTTTCTTTTTTATCTGTCTTTGGCAAAAGTCTAGGTAAATTAACATTGAATTCATTGTCTCTATTAAATGATTCCTGTAATGACTTGTCAGTTTTGTAATGAGGTTAATATGCAAGACATTCTAGACCAGCATTACCCAGTTAAAGTAGCCACTAGCCACATGGAGCTGTTGAGCACTTGACATGTATCCAGTCTGAATTAAGTTGTGCTGTAAGTGTAAAATACACACTGGATTTCAAAGACTGTGCATACACTTACCCAAGAACATAAAATATTACATTAACAATTTATATTGAAACATATTGAAGTGGTAATGTAGAAATATTGGATTAAATAAAATATATTATTGAAATTAATTTTACCTGTTTCTTTCTATTATTATTTTTGTAGAAATGGGGGTCTCACCATCTTGCCCAGGCTGGTCTGTAACTCCTAGGCTCAAGCCATCCCCCTGCCTCACTACCCCCAAAGTGCTGGGATTACAGATGTGAGATACCATGCTCGGCCTCTTTTATTATTATTGTGGCTAATAGAAGATTCGAAACTGCATATGTGGCTTGCATCATATTTCTGTTAGAATAATACCTGACCTTTTCTGTGAGAGACAATACATTGTAGAAAGACTTTTTTAAAGGTATATTTGAGTTTGAATCACATTTCCCAACGTTGATGG